GCTAGGTGCTTGGAACAGATGTGAACAAGCGAGTTTCAAGGACTCTGCCCTCAAGGAGCTCATACTCTGGTGTGGGAGCCAGGCCATACATCAATAAACAAAGAAATGAAATAATCACAGACTGTTCGGTGCAAGCAAGGAAATAATCAGGAGACTATAACAGACTAAAATGAGAAGCCTGTTAAGGAGGTCAGGGAAAGCCCCCCTGAAGAGGGGATAATTAAGGCGAGGTCTGTAGGTGAAGAGGAACCAGCTAATGCTAACGGAAGTGGGAAGAAACTTCTGCATAGGAAGAACTACCTGCAAGTGCAAAGGCCCTGAGGCTAGAAAGAGCTTGAGACTTTCAAGGAGAAGGGTTCTGATGGTTCTAGTGAACAAAGCACAGAAAGTGGCACGAGATAAAATCTCTAGGATACACATTATGCAGGACCTTTTAGGCCTTAGCAAGGAGTTGGGATTTTATCCTAACTACGATGGGAATTCATTGAATGGTTTAATGAACAGATTAAACATTTAAAGAATCACTCTGGCTGCTGTGGAAAGCAAGAGTAGAAGTGAGACAATCAATCCATGAGAGGGATGATGGTGGTTTGCACCAAGGTGGTGCTGGTGTAAAATGAATATATGTGTGAAAAAAAAATGCTATGGAAGTAGACCTGTTAATAGTGTAAGGGTAGGGTGAAGGAAAGTTGAGGATGACTCTTAGTTTCAATAAATGGGTAGATACTAGTGATATTTATTGAGCTAAGGAAGTCTTGTGATGGGACAGGCTTGGAGCAAAAGGGTGCAGAATAAAGAATTCAGTTATGGACATGTTAATTTTTAAATATCTGAATAGAGATGTAAAAAGTTAGATATCTGAATTTGGAACTTGAAGAGAAATGAGCTGCTGTTATAAATTTGGGTGTCATCAACAAATAGCTATGGGGCTAATTGAAATCTAGGAACACAGTAGAAATGAATATTCCCAGAACCAAGTTCTGGGGAAAATGTAGAAGTTTGGTAATGAAGGCAAAGAGATTAAAGGAATGGAACACAACCAGGATATCAAGATTGGAGAGTGTTTCAAGAAGAAGGGGATAGTCAACTGCTTAGAGATCAAATCAGATAAGAAGAAGAACGTGCACTCAGCATTTGGCTGCATGAAAGTCATGGTGAACTTGGCCAGAGAAGTTTTAGAGAATGATAGGAATGGAAGGCAGATGGAATTGGTCATGGATGGTAAGAAAGAGAGGTAGAAGAGACAATGAATATAGAGAAACTTTTCAAGATATTATGCCCTAACAGGGATTAGAGACATGAGATAATAGATGATGAAGGTATGGTCACAAAATATGGTGAATACTTAAATTTAAAAATTTTTATTACAGTAAAAGACACATTGCCATTAATTCCCCTCAAAATACTTCCCCTCACTTCGAACACACCCCATAATTCTTGCTACTTTCTAAATCAGTCCTGGAAGTCCTCTTTCATGAGTGTCTTTAGTTGCGCTGTCGTGGCTGCCTCAATGTCCTGAATCAATTCAAACCATTTTCCTTTCATGGTCATTTTGAGTTTGGGGAAGAGCCAGAAGTTGCATGGTGCCAGATCCGGTGAATTAGGTGGATGAGGACACACCATAATGTTTTTATTTGACAGAAACCGCCGTACCAGAAGTGATGTGTGACATGGAGCCTTGTCATGATGGAGGATGAAGTAAAGACCTTCATAAAAGAGGACTTCCAGAGCTGCTTCAGAAAGTGGCAAAAATGATGTGCATTCGAAGCAGAGAGTATTTTGAGGAGGATTAATGGCAATGTGTCTTTTACTGTAATACATTTTTTATTTAAATATTCACCATATTTTTTTAATCACACCTTGTATTTGTGTTCTGAAGGAATGATCTAATAAAGAAAAAAAAATGAAATGTGTTAGGTGGTGATAAAGGACTGAAGTCCTTGTTTAGGCGAAAAAGGATCGAATCCAGAAGAGGATTGAACCTGGAGCAGAAGCGAGGGTGATTAAACGTTGGTGGTAGAAAGCATGCTTCATTAGGAGGAAAGAAGGAGAGAGGTTCTCATGATGGGTTTTCTTTACTCAGTGAAGCACAATAATTGACTGGGAGTAAAGGGGTTTGAGAAGAAATAATGAAACAGTCCTTTCAAAGAGTGGGAAATGTTTTAAAAAAGAATTAAATTCTGAATGTTATTGAGTTTCCATTTGAAGCTTGTAGTCTTGAATTTAAACAAATCCAGACAATCCAGTTTTGTGATTTTCTTCACCAAGATTAGTGATAAAATATGGATAAGGTAGATTTAGTTTTTTGGCCAAGAAAACGGAAAATGAGACATGGGAGTTGAGGGTGTCTGTGAGGATGTCATTGTAATATTGGACCATGGAAATAAGCTAGACAAGGATGGAAGTAACAGGAGAGGTCTGATGGATAAGTGAGAGATGGGCAGGGTTAATGAACAGGAAGTTGCAAAGAAGTTAGATAGAGGACAATAAAGACTCTAGAGCTAGGGGCTAGAAGGATCAGATGAAATGGTCCAAGAATGGGATGTTAGAAATCAAAATTTCAAGGTAGTGACGATAAGCTGTGGGGGCACTGAGTAACTGAGAAAGGAACAAAGAAAAAACATTATTGCAGTTAGGGAGACAAAGGAACTGAAAGTTCTACCTCAAAATAAGTCAAAAAAACCTTCTTATTCATTGTGCATATTTCATGGATCATCTCAAATCCTTATTTGGAATTGGATAGGTTGCACTAAAATAAATACTAGGACAGTAGCTGATTCATTGTGGGTTTACTCTGTAAATACGATTTTAGGACATACTTTTCAACATTGTGCACCAGAATTCTTCATTGCCATTAGGATATTGCTTGTGAAGTATTCTAAAATGTGTTAATTCTCATAGTTGAATTAGTTAACACATTGCGTACCGGTGACACAGATTTGTGTCTATCTATTTAAATGCCTCATCTTTTTAATAGTTTCCATTTCTGAATCATTGATGATGTAAGACTCCCTATGGCCTTTTGGGCCAAGAGTAATACATTTTGTCTGTTGTACAACACCCTTTTGATTTAGCCATATTTATGTGCCCAGTCTCATCCCTTGCCACTCCCTTGAGATGTTCTAACCACCCCAACTCTTCAGAAGTCCCCAGTGTCAGGACAAGCCTACGTGTCTTTACAAATGCCACTCCCTCTGCCTGGCTCCTTCTTCACCTGGATAACTTCTCATTCTCCAAGACCTATCGACAGGGTCAACCTCTGAGTCAAACCTTTTATAAGAAATTGAACCATCCAAAAGTGCCGCTTTGTGGGTCTAAAAACGTCACCTATTGGCAGTTTCATTTTGTTAGTAACTTGCTACCACCAATGGAAATGTCAGCCATACGTTATTGACAGTAGCTACTCCTCGCTGAATTGTAGCTGTGTGCTAAGGACTTTCTATTTACCATCTTGCTGAATTCCCACAATATGCCTGAAAGACAGGTATAAGTACTTCCATTTATTAGACAAGGATTCTGAGATTTAGAAAGGATCTTTCTGGGAGACACAGTAAATAGTAAATAAATGGCAGAACTGGGTTTTGATTCCCAAACCCCTTCCTTTGTCTTATTCATTGCTATGACTCCGGGGCCTAGCACATGCCTGGTACAGAGTTAAAATATATATGATAATTCTTCATTTGTCAGAAAACTACCCAAACAAATGGGAAGGCTGGCTTTGTTCATGACCTCCAGGACTCTCTAAGTTCTGTCACTTTATGGTGGCCTAGGATCTTGACATTGGATTTACCTGATAAACATTGCTGCTTCCCTGGAGTTTAGAAAGATGCATTTTGATAGATGAAGCTAAGAGTTGGAACTGCTTTAAAATATGAATCCTATAAGTACTCTTTATTTGTTTTAAGTCACTACCTTGATCCGTGTTTGCCGGATAGGTTCCTTTTCACTCGTTTTATTTACCTAGGAGGACAAGTTCTTTAGATCACGAGACAAACTGTGGATTTGTCGACACATGAGTGCCAGGCCTTGGTGTAATGCAAACAGAGGCGGAGAGCATCTGGGTTCATTTCCTGAATACCTTTATCCTTCAGTGACATAGAATTTTCCTGGTGTTCTTAAGCACAATGGTGCTTTCTTACTAAAAACCAGGAACCCTTTGGCAAATACCACATAGCTGCTCTGGGATCCTTGCATTTGGCTAACCTTCCTTCTTGACTCAAATTTTGATTCTGTAGTCTTCACCAGAGCTTCTGGTGCCAACGTCCACAGCAGTGGTTCTCAAACTTCATCATGCCTCAGAATCACCTGGAGAGCTTGTGGGAACATAGATTTCTGGTCCTCACCCCAGAGACTCTGATTCAGTTCTTCCAGGCTGCAGCCGTAGATTCTGTAGTGCAGTCAAGCGCCCCGGTAATGTGGATGCTGCTGGTCCAAGGGCTGCACTTTGAATAACTCAAAGTGCTAATCAAGTCCTGCTTCACGAGGCACAAAAGGAGGTTGGATATAAAAGCAAAAATCTCAGCAATATTCTGAGTAAACATCTGGATGCTGAATTGTGTAGACAAAAAAAAATACATGTATGTGACTCTCAAAAATAGTATGTCCTGATTTTTGACATTAGGTTAGATACGGGCAGTGAGTCCTCTTGGGTGGAGGGGGACCAGTGAGCAGGAACCTGGGAGCCCTTCTTTCCGGGAGCTCTTCTTCCATGATCTTAGCGAAACTTGCTTCTCTGTGACCTTCAGGACATCCGTGTGTTGTGTTCCTAAAGCTACTCTAGAGGAAGATGCTGTGTAAAATTGGTCAGTCTTTCAATACAAATGTGAATGCAAAAAGTTTTCAGAAAGAAAACACTCTATACTAAGAGATGTGGTCATTCAATTCAGAATGCAAAAGGGTGATTTCTCATTTTCCCTCGTTTGGAGGCTAAAAGTTATTTGCATTTTTATTAGATTCAAAATGGTGTGAGTCATGCAGATCAACACGTTTCTTTTTAACAGGAATCCATTGTGTTTGAACCCAACTGCCTCTTCAAAGTGGATGAATTTGGCTTCTTTCTGACCTGGAAAAGTGAAGGCAAGGTAAGGCACAGCACAGCAAGTTGATCTTTCCTGCTGTCTGGGTCAAGGCGTTTTACTGGGTTATCGGAAAACTCATGACGTATTTTTTCTATGTTTTTCGTTGCAAACATGTCATGACTTTTCCGACAACCCAATATTTCTCAATGACCAGTCAGAGTACCCCTTGAGGGCACGGACCCTATGCTTACTCATTTATTCAAGATTTTTAGAAATGTGCTTCCAGTGCCAGGCATGGGGACAGAGTGGTGATCAAGAACATTATCCTGCCCTCTTAGATTCCAGTCTAAGAGAAAAATCAGGCATCAAAAACAAAAGGGAAAAAAAGGTACAAGTCATTAAGTCATTGAGTGTTGTGAAAGAAAAGGTTAGGTTGTTACAAGAGCTTAAAACAGGCAGGTCTGATTTAATCTTGGCAATTAGGGAGGTTTCCCAGAAAAAAAGTGGTTCCAGCTGAAATCTCAAAGGGGCAATAGGAGTGTGTTCATCTGGCTATACCGCGGGCCTTAACTCAGTGCGCGGCACAGTGTACACATTTCATGAACCTGTGAGCTGAATAAAGAAAAGTAGAATTGGAGTTCTATGTAAATAGTATTACAGCCACTTACTCTTTTATGTACACCCATTATATGTAAAAAAGTACAGCATTTTGTAAACATTTTATAAATAATTATTCAGAGTTGCATTTATGTGTGTATATCTACGTAGATATACACATACACACACATACGTATATATACACACATTTGAAATTGGATGTTTTGGGTCTTGACTATTTCTGATTGGGACAAATTATTATTGTTTACCTTACTCTCTAATCAGCGTTGCCTTCATCATCACAAACATTCGCTAAGTACCTTGTTTGTGCCGTAGGACTGGCAGAACTTGGGCTCATTGCTGTATTTTATTCTCTCTTTTCAGGAAGGACAAGTGCTGGAATGCTCCCTCATCAACAGTGTTCGGTTGGGAGCCACACCAAAGGTGCCTGCGATTGGTGTTTGCTGTTCTTCTAAGCACAGATTTACTTAGCTCAGAAATGGTCTCCTGAAGACTATTTAACCTGTTACTGCCCCCAAATCATCAGCTGGGAATTAAGAACACAGTTTAGAAATCTTCTCATCAATAACTGTTGGGTGATTTGGATTGCATTATGTTTAGTTGTATCAGAAATGCTGTTAACCCTTGAAAGCAAAGACCCGAGTTAAGGGAACTTGGAAATTAATTACAAGTCCCCCTGTCCTTTTTTTTAGCAAACAGTGAGTCATCGTTGGTCTGTGGGTGATGTGGAAATTTAATGGCGTGGGTAATTCCATATTTGTGCACCTGTGCATGCAGACATTGTCTCACCTTGACGGCCCGGCTTGCCTCTGAGGGGGAACAAAATGACAGAGCGCGTAAATCAGCCTTCTTCACAGTGACTGATTTGTTTGAATAAGAAGTTGTTTGCATAGCGGTGCTAGGAATATCAAAGATTTTTTTTTCTAGAATATTCTAGCACAGTGTTTATTTTCTTTTCCATAAAAGCCCTGCAGGTTTTTAGATGTTCAAAACAAAATTATGTTCCAAACTTTGTTTTTTATTGTTTTTTTTTTTTTAAGCTGTCCTCTTTTGTGTTGGTTCAGATTTCTGTGTAATTATGTTGGCATTTCCTCCTGACTTCTTTCCGAGGACAAAGACACTATTTTATTTGCTAATTAGTGTAAACTTACACAGTCTTCATTCCAAATGCAGATGCCATGGTTTCTAGAGGTGAATACACTCACTCTTTGTGTCCAGGCTCCTTGAGGGACTTAATCTCATTTTTGAGTAACCATGGTTGCTGGTTGTGGCAATGCCATGCTTATTTGTGTGAAACCTCAGTGACTCGTTTCCGGTGAGAGACCCCTTCAATCTTTGTGGGCACAGTCAAGTCCCAGTCAGAGTCTTTCCATCATGTTATCATATTCCAGATCCTTCATAAAGACCCTTGTACATGATTTTCTAAATAACATTACAGGACCTTTCTTACCATAAGTGTTCCAGTAATCTGTATAGTATTACAGATTTTACCTCTGTAAGTTTTAGAATAATGCTAGATGTCTAGCATTTTAGATAGAAAAAAAATTATATATATATATATATATATATATATATATATATACACACACACACACACACACACAAATTTTTTTGTCAAATGTGGTTTCTTTTTACCATGTTTTCTGCATGCTCTCTCTGTGATCTAACATATTTTTTTTCTTATTTATATACCTCTATACAGGATCCCAAAATCCTGGCTGCTCTTGAAGCTGTTGGAAAATCAGAAAATGATCTGGAAGGGCGGATAGTGTGTGTCTGCAGTGGCACCGATCTGGTGAACATCAGCTTCACTTACATGGTGGCTGAAAATCCAGAAGTGACCAAGGTAGCGTCAGTGAACCGCCTCCCTTCCTTCCCCCCCACCCCATATGTGTATATGTGGTACACGCAATTTTTTATGTATTATATATATATATATATATATATATATATATAATATATAAATATATATATAAAATATATATAAAATATAATAATTGTATAATAATTTAAATTTTTAAAAAGTATTTCAATTGCCTTGGTGGAATGTTGATGTAGAAAATTCAGCAAAACAGAATACCCTTTGAGCATGTCGCTCATATACACCGACAACCCAAATACCTTCTGTGACGTGTTGCAGGAAAAATTAGCCCCAGCACCTCTCAGACTTGAATGTGCACAGGAGTCACCGGAGATGTTGTGAAAATTCATGTTCTGATTCAATAGGTCTGAGGTGGGGACAAAATTCTCCCTTTCTAACAAGTTCCCTGTTGATATAGATGCTGCTGGTCTGACAACCACAGTTTGACTAGCAAGGGGCTACATCAGCCCTGCCTAGTGGAAATAGAATGCAGGCAACAGATAAAATTTAAATTTATCTAGCAGCTACATTTAAAAAGTAAAAGGATCAGCGAAGTTAACTTCAGTAAAATAATTTATTTAACCTAATATATCCAAACTCTTTTCATTTTAACATGAAACCAATATAAAATTTATTAGTGACGTATTTTACATTCTTCTGTTTATATTAAGTCTTTTTACAGTGCTCAGTAGCTACCTAGGGCTAATGGCTGGACACACAGGTCTCGATGGTTAAGATAGCGTAACCCCTCCCAATAAATCATTGAAGTATTTGGTTATGATCCATCTTTTAATACCATAGCCAGCATATCATTGCCCTGGCAAGCGAGACTAAAAGAGATTTTGGCCCAAGTAGACGGACAGTCTCAAATTTAAGTCATTTTTCTGCAAGGCATTTGTTTCAACGGTGGTTTTGTTCTGAAAAGCGTTCCCATTATCTTTCTTTCTGTAATATATATGAAGAGACCTGCCTGTGCCTTTGCTGCCCCATCGCAGAGACCTGGGTTTGGGGGGATGCTGGGGACATTTTACCATTGATATTACAAGGAGAAACTCAGTTCAGAGTTGAATGACAAAGGCCATCATTAGAAATCTCAAATTTTATAGCTAGGAGGGAATGTATGTAAGATCGTTGGAGTACACTGAGATTAGAAGACTTACCCCTGGACCCAGAGCTGACTGGTGGCAGAGTTGAGTTCTGCAGACTCCAAAGCAATAAAGGCTCTTCTGTCCCTCCTCAAAGTGTGGTCCACATTCCAGCAGCAGTGGCTTTACCTGGGAGCTCCTTACACATTAAAGCCACAGGCCCACCCAGACCTATTGACCCAGAATCTTCATTTTTAACAAGACCCCCTCCCCGCCTGGTAACTTACACATGCAGTGAAGTCTGAGAGGCACCAGCTTTGTGGCTTTGGAGCCAAGAGTGGAAGTTCCATCTTACCTGAGAGCCTTTGCTTCTGTCCCTGTGAAGGCTTTGTCGGTTTTGTGCTATTGATCCAGGTCACCTCCCTTTGGGAGAATAAATTTTGCAGTGCCTTCATGTTCTTTTATTATTGTGCTCAGGTCAACACTGAGTTTGAATGGTTTCTTGAACCCTGATGATCTAAACAAGCGTTATTCCTGCTTCTTGTAGTTCACACCTGTATATGTCCTACAGAGGTGTTTTAGTTGCAATTTCCCATAGCAACAATCAGCCCTCGAAGTTCATACTGACTACCCACAAAGCAAAAAGGATTGTGAAGTCACATACAGATATTTAGCCACCTGAAATAGACCTGTTTCCTGGCTTTTGTCAACTCATCATATTATAAGAGACAGGATGACTAGGTATGAGCTTACGAATCTGGGCTTTGGGACCAGGTTGCCTGGCCTCAAATCCTTGTTCTTCCACTTGGCAGCGATGCGTCTGAGACACACAGCTTGCCTCTCTGTGCCTCATTTTTTTGGTCTGTAAAATAGGAATAGTACTAAAATATCTGCTCTTAGGATCATTGTGAGGATTACATGAGTTATGACATGGAAAGTGCTTTGTGCACTTGTCTTTCTCGTTGAAAACCTCGATGTGTCTTAGCTATTATGGTCACTGGGTCACAGAATTTTAGAGCTGGAAATGGAACTTAGGAAGTGCTTCCCAGCACCCATTTTTCAGATGAGAAAAGGAAGCCAAGGAGTTGAAAGAACTCACACCTAAGACTATACAGCAGTCTTGGCCAGAGTCCAGCCTAAAACTCGGGCCTCCTATGTCCCATGTAATGCTACCCACTCCTCCCATGACCTCAGCAAGTGCCGTCCTGGGAAGATGGTGCAGTTCAGTAAATCCCGAAACTGTCTTGCCTCCCATGGTTTTAATTGCCCTCAGTCTTGGTCCATTTTGTTTAAGAACCACATTCTGAAACCTGTACTCATGTAGTATATATGTGTATGTTTGATGCAGAGGGTATATACTTAAAGATAAGAGGTTTTTTCCCAGTATCATTTTCACTGAACTTTAAGGTAAGTAGCCAGACAAGTAAGGACTATAAAATAATGCTATCCTGGATTTTCATTTCAAACTCAACACTATTTAAACCTCCTCTTATTGAAGAAGCTAAATGTTTCTGGCAAACGAAACAGTTCTGGGAACTGTTGCTTAGAATTTCATATTTCATTGATAGCATAATAATTAAATATAAATCACACTACTCAAACTAGATTTTCCATATTATTAGAGCCTGTCCTGTTGGCAGATTGACACATGGAGAAGATACTGAAAAAATTTTTTCACTAACTATATATGTATGTGAATTAACTTGCCCACTTCCTGATTGTAAAACTTAAAATATTGTAGTAATCTAGATCAGAATACTTACCACTTCCACCACTGACAACATTTTCCCCATCACTACCATTTTGTTCCTATTCCTCTACATGTGTTTTTATCCCTAACAGAACACAACAAACCATCAAAATGAGAGGATTTATACAGAATACGCACAGATGTAATTACCTCAAGTCAAAGTGATGGTGGAATTCATCAATTAAATCAGGTCAAGTGAGAAATGTAGAGCTCTCCCAGTGTACCTGAAATGGTGTTTGCGACATAGCTTGTGGTACTACTCTAAAGTGAGTACAGCCTAGGAGGCTAGAATCATGGCATCATAGGATGTGCTAACAGCCCTTTTAGCCAGCTGTATTCACAAAAGTCAGTTAAAGCAAGTTATCATTTTTTAAAACAACACATGTATACCTTAAACACTTTATTTTAACTCAAAGCATATGAATGTGATTCAATTCTTGGCCAGTCTTTTAATGTTAGGGCCAAAGTGTTTTCACTAGGGTCTGTTAATTGAAGTCGATGTATTTTTTGTCTGTACCTCATCCATAATGCATCACCTCAAATACCTAGTTTTGTTTCTCTAAAGTAGAATGGAGACTTCAAAGACACTCGTGGAGCAATGCGAGTCGAGAATCCTACAACTGTATGCCTTCTTTCCCTAATCCTTTAGTTGTCTTGTTCACAAAAGATTTTTTTTTTAAAGATTTTTTAGCAACTTGCCTTTAAAGAAATCTTTCCAAAATATTCAACTAGAGAAACAACAACCTCTTTCCACAAGCATATTTCATTGGTTCACATAACCATTTATTATTAATACAATTAACATATAAATAGGTTTGAATACAAACATAAGTAACTCATGGTAAGCAAGTAAGGTAAGAGCAAAAGAGTGCAACGTTGGAAAGTGGCTTATTAACTCTGAGAGTTCAGCACTTTAAGGGTGTTTTTCGTGTTTTATGAACATCTGACATGCCTTGGTCTGACCAGTGAGATGTAAATTAAGAGAGTCTTTAGTGTAGAACTTGCTTGGGAGTCTTTATCTTATGAGATTCTTCAATCTATTCTGAATTCCTTGACTCTTATGACAAAATCTGACCATTCTGTAAAATTGCCGTAGCCAAACATTTACTCCAGACAAATGAGCCCACTTTCAACTTCATGTGCTCCCCAAGGCGGGCCCTTTCCTGACCTTTCCTGACCTTGAGCCATTTTACCTTCTTTGTGCTTCCACTTCTCAAACTCATCCTCTGATGTTTTCCTTCTTATTTCAAGTGGGCGTTTTAAGCGTCAGTAAAATTTTACATGAAATCTGAGTTTCTTAGGGTTGAGGTTTCAAATAAATACAAAATATTTTCCAGTACACATGACTGTGAAAATATGATTGTGCTTTTTGCTTTCTTTTTTCAATAAAAGATGACACCAGTATAAAAGACATTTTTGTAGCTCAGCTTGTCTTGTCTTCAGCTGCCGTCTCTGCTTATGTAATAATAGAGTAAAATAGAGTAAATAGAGTAAAATAGAATGAAAAATAGAGTCCGAAGCTTGCTTTGCCACTGTACCTCTTTAGAAGATTTGAGCTCAGCTCTGTAGACCTTTCTCCCCTACAAAATACATGTCTAATGGTATCGGAAAGTGCAGTTCAAGTCCAAGCTTTTCACCCTTCTCCTACAGTCATTTCAAGTTGCTGAGCCCATGAACGCCTCCTTGCACGGGTTCTTTAACGAACACTCATATGTAGACTCTTGCTGCTTCTCACCACCACCCAGGCCAATATCATTTCTCCCTTAGCTGGTTTGTCTGCCTTGGCCTTGCCCCTTTTAAGCCAGTCTCAAAATAGCAGCTGGAGGGATGTTCTTAAAATGTAATTCAGATCACATTATTCCACGGCTCAAAAACTTCCAAGGCTTACAAGGCCCTGCAAAAGGCAACGCTCGTCTCCCTTCTCCTTTCTGTCTTCATCTCCCTCTTTCCTCCTTGTATTTCCTTCCAGCCTCAGGGACTTTGCACGTGCTGTTCCTTTCGCCTGGAACATACTCTTTCCCCAACTCCATGCACTGCTTTCTCCCTCACACCCCTCAAGCCTCTGCTGGAATATCACCTAGCGGGAGCTCCCCATCTCACCACCCCTCAAGCTTCCTAACACCACATCTGCTTTGTTTTTCTTCACAGCA